CTTAGTGGTAACCCTAATGTCTTAGATCATTTATCTGAGGCAACAATATCCAAGGCAACCTTTCCGAGGCAACTATGATCTTTTAGACAAGAGGACGACCTCTAAAACAACCTATACTTCAATGACCGTTTTAACAAAGGCAACCAAGTGGGAGTGTACCCTAGGATTGCGCATGTGCGAGTGTTTCAATTTCAGATTATTTTTATCTTTGCACATTTAGGGTGATCTAACTGTTTTAAAATTAAACATACATTTTTGTCATGCAAACCCTATTATCAAACATCTAACAGTTAAATATTTGCGGAATTTAAAATGCAGAAATTAAACTACGCTATTACAAGGCTTCAGGTATTTACATAGCCAAAAACAAACTCTTTGAAAAGTAAAGAATAAAGCGATAAATGAAAAGTAAAAGTCCTAATTAAAACTATTACACCTTGTGAGCAGTTACAATAATGGGATAAAAATAATAATAACGCGCACGATGAAATTTAGATCGGGAGAAAATTAGGGTTTTGACACTTCTAACCTAATCAAAAGAAAAACTGTTTTTGTTGTTTTTAATATTTTTTTAAAGAAAAGAATTTAGGTTTTAAAATTAAATACAAAATTAATTAGTAATTAAATTAGTTTTAAAAAAAATAATTAAATGACCTATTTTTGGTCTTTTTGTTATTTTAGGGGAAAAAAATAAAATATAATTAAGTTAGTAACAAAATCCTAATTGTTCTAATTAATTTTAATTTATTTACAAAATAATTAAAGTTACCTAAAATTAAATTTAAACCTAAAATTAATTATTCGAGTTTATTATAAAAAAATCAAAGGTTTGTGAAAAAATGTTAAGTTTTATGAAAAAAGATTTTAAACAGAAAGAATAAAAATAGGTAAACGGATAAATAGAAAGGAAGAAAATCAAAACCAATAGGGGTGGTTGTTGAACCCACGCCATTAACCTTCTCAGGATGTTTGCCTCGCCATGTATTGGTGTCATGTGTTGGCTATTTCTGTTTTGGCCATTTGTGTTTTGGCCTCAACGTTCCTTAATGAACCTGCATGGGATCTTGTCTAAATCTGCAGTGTTGAATCTCATGAACACATTAAATAAATTACTATATATCCTGAAATACAAATAAAGCCAATATATGAAGAAATTTAATGTTTAAGCCAATATGGCATGTATGAATGATTATACCCTTTTGATCATGGAGATCAAATCAGCCTTACTCTTACTGGAGAAGTAGTGATATGAATACTTTTATGCCCTTTTGATCATGGAGATCAAGCCAGCCTTACCCTTACTGGAGAAGTAGTGAGATGTTGGTTTGTAACAGGGATGACTTGTTTGTAGTGAGATGGGAATTTATAATAAAGATTTCAAGGTTTTAGGGTTCTTGAAAGAATTTGATATTTTGACAGCGTTGTGGCAAAAGCTTTTTTTTTCCTCCTCCCTTGTTTGTGTGAAAAGAATGAGATTATATAATAGAAATTAGAGAGAAAAAATGGGCTTTGAATGTGCAATTGGGCCTCCAATGTTCACTTGAGTTCGTCACGTTCCATGAAAAATCGCAGAGGCTTAAGTGCTATTTTTGAAGTTGAAATGTGAAATCAAAATGTAACCGACATAGAGAACTAACTCCTGTCCGAAAATGAGCTCAATCGGATAAACGGTGAATTAGTTGTGAATTTTTGAAGTTTCAGCTCAGACAAACTTATTTTGGGCTCTAGTGTCGACTCTGACACGTTCTTCAATAAAAAACTGGTATTGATCGAGGCATAATTCCGTCTCGACTTTTGAAGAAAAGTTGTAGATCTCTGAGTCAGTGACCTAGTGTAAACAGATGGGCCCAATCCGATAAAAATTGACCGAGTTATGAATTTTCGAAGTTTCGGCCCAGATGAAATAATATTCAGTATTCAGGATTTTCGGCGCGTCACACGCACTCTGAGCAAAAAACGAAGGCCTTTTGAATACTGTTCGAACTTGATACCTCCTGTGAAAACGTATCCAACTAAATTTGTGAAATTTGGGCGCCGAAACCAGCTCGATACGATGAAAATCGACCAAGTTATGATTTTCTGAACATGACGCAAATAAATTTTTGTCACAAATTTTCTGTACGAAAATACATGATAAATCTGCAATTTTGAAGAGCTTCTGATCGAAATTGGCTTCCAGCCATGAGAGATGAAAACGTAGATGACGTCAAGACAGAATTTTGGCCACCGGAACGGGTTCAAAACGAGCCACGATATTCAAGTTATGAATTTTTTAGCGCGTAAAAACTGCACTTTCAGCACACTTTTTCAACATATTTCTTCGAGAAAACTCACACATTCAGATACCTTCTTTAAAGAATTGACTCTTGAGCTGAACCTGAATTTGAAAATACGTTATCAGAGATATCTTGGCGAAAGAACACCTGAATATGACACGCCGGGTTGGACTTGTGAATCTTTGAACCCCGAATCGTTGCAAAACGGCGAACCGATCTTCAGCACGGAAAATACTCTGAGAATATCCATTGACGAAATAAACGTCACTTGTAACCTGAAGAAGCTTGATAAATATACCTTTATTCCATAACCATAAAACCAATAATATGCGTGTATGAAAATAGGGAAAATTTTGGGGTACAATAATACTCATCTGTATCTTCTTTCGATACTCATCCGTATCGATTCAAACACTCGTCTATGTTATATCTTCCTTGTATTGGCATCACGCTATGTTACAAGTTAGATCTCTTCCTTGTATTGGCATCACGCTATGTTACAAGTCCAATCTCTTCCTTGTATTGGCATCACGCCACGTTACAAGCTCGATCTCTTCCTTGTATTGGCATCACGCTACGTTACAAGTTCGATCTCTTCCTTATATTGGCATCACGCTATGTTACAAGTCCGATCTCTTCCTTGTATTGGCATCACACTATGTTACAATCTCAATATCTTCCTTATATTGGCATCACGATACGTTACAAGTTCGATCTCTTCCTTGTATTGGCATCACGCTACGTTACAAGTCTGATCTCTTCCTTGTATTGGCATAATGCTATGTTACAAGTCTGATCTCCTCCTTGTATTGGCATCACGCTACGTTACAAGTCTGATCTCTTCCTTGTATTGGCATCATGCTACGTTATAAGTCTGATCGTTTCCTTGTATTGGCATCATGCTACGTTACAAGTTCGGTATCTTCCTTGTATTGGCATCACGCTACGTTACAAATTAGATATCTTCCTTGTATTGGCATCACGCTATGTTACAAGTCTGATCTCTTCCTTGTATTGGCATCGTGCTATGTTACAAGTCTGATCTCTTCTTTGTATTGGCATCTTACTACGTTGCAAGTCTGATCTCTTCCTTGTATTGGCATCATGCTATGTTACAAGTCCGATCTCTTTATTGTATTGGCATCGTGCTACGTTACAATTCTGATCTCTTCCTTGTATTGGCATCACGCCACATTATAAGTCTTTTATGCCTTTGTGTTTGCATCATGCTACCTTCCAACACTCATCGTGTCAATTTCTAAACATTCATTGTGTCCCGATCAATGTCTTCTTTTTGATTATCGTGTCCTGATCGATACCTCTCTTGCGAATCATCGTGTCCTGATTGATGTATTCCTATTATCCATCGTGTCTTGATCGATGTCTCCCTTTTGTTATCGTGCCCTGATTGATGTCTCCCTTTCAATCACTCTATCCTGATCAGTGATTTCCTCTCGGTCATTGTGTCATGATCGATGTACTCGGATGTCGTCGTGTCCTGATCGACGTATACCTCTGGTTTAGTCCCACCTCTTTTTAATTCCTTAGTAGATGTTTCAAAAATAAATAAACACTCACACTTTCTCTCAGAACATATTTTTGACATTGGTATTTAATCATCTTCAACCTTGAAGTTCTGAAAGGCACGCACCAATCGTACTTTCAGGTTTAAGACGATTAAATATGGGCAACTGTAATACCCCAAATTTGTTCTACCCCTCACTTTTATCTGGCTTATGCATCTCGCAGTTTTCTCATGCACGTAACATTCATTAGGTCATCTAACACATCATGCATCATTAACCAATAAATTTGGCTTGAGATCAAGGATATTAAGGGATTAGGGTTTCTTTAGGCTTTTAGGCCCTCATCTTCATGCATGCCTGGATCAACATGGTTCTTCATCAGTTAAGGTTTGAGGGATTAGAGTTTGTGTTCATTGGGAATTTCCTCCTTTACCAAGAGACTCATTTTCGTCAAAAGACAAAGTCATCTCTTCAAGTTACTTTAGGGTTGAAAGAGTTAAGGTTTACTTCCCTAATCGTGTAGGCTTGAAGAATGGTTCCATATGGATTTGTTCATTAATTAATTTCAAATGGGTTCTATCATTACTTAGAGTGCAAGCTATCAGAGACATTGGTATGGTCATTGCAAACTAGAGTCTCTAGTGAGTTTCCTTCTTCTAAGAAGATTCAACTGACATTTGGGTCAAAGAGCTTTGGGTATGGATCTTATACCAAAATAAGGACGGGTATTCAATAGATCTAAGTGCAAGAATTAGTTTAGAGGCTATAGGTATTCAATTATGGCATACGTGGGTGTTCGATTTAATATGTCATAAAGTGAATTCGAGATGCAAGGATAACATCCTTTTGACTAAAAGAAGTTTCAAAGCCATTTCTTTGGATTATTCATCATGAAAGTGAAAGAAAATTTCTTTACAAAGAAAAAGAATCCATGTGTCATGTTACATCATTCAATCATACCATTACAATTTCGAATAATCTACTTTCCAAAATAGAAAAAAATTACACAAGAAAATACGCCGAATATTACAAAGTTACAAATTAATCCAAGTTCAATGACCAAACCTTTTCCCACTTTTCATGCCATGCGTCAAGTCTTAATTTAACCTTACAATATGCGTCTTCTCCAAGTTAATTCTTTAAGCCTTCTGTTATTCTTCAACTATTCAGCCTGCATCATTAAGAAAACAAATCTCAGTTAGCCAAATTTCAAAAGCAGCCCTGCAATTAACCAATCCAGTAGTATGGACTCAATCAAAACAACTTCAGTTGCAAGCAAAAAATCGATGGAAAAGTAAATTAACAGAACTCTAACAGACTCAAGCAAAATTTCTTGCAAAAAATAACAAAACTGTAACATCTCCCCTAACTCCAGCCAATTCAAAACAAGACTAATTGTAACCAGTTTCCAAACATTTAACTAATTAACCGAAAAAAATAGCACAAGAAATACCTGTGACTAACCTTTTTACTAATAGATTCTTTACCAACTATTGTAACAAATTTTCAAACTAACATTAATAGTTTCCAGTCATTCACAACCCCCTTACTGTTTTTAACAAATTCATAACGGAACCCAGCTCACTAATCTTCCCTCTAACCGAAAACCAACATAACAAACTTACAAAAGACCATAACAGAATTTTGCTCCTCTAAAAGAAACCAATAACCAAACCTAAACAAAATCTCATCCAAACACAAGCTGCAACATGCCAATTCAATACTAAAACCAGTTTCAAAGATGAAATCAAAACCAATACAAATTGTCCTAGCAGAAAAAAGAAATTAACAGCCTATACCAGTTCATAACCTCTTATAATTTCTAACAGTTTCTAAACACCTTATAACAACCTTTAATAGAATCCAGAAAAATATAACTCCAACGACATATCTGAATTCTCAACAGATAACCAACTAATTCCCTAATTGTATTAACAGGGACTTTAACTAACCTTCCTAACCTTCTAACCTCTTCTCTAACAGTTTCCAGCTAACAACGTGTGGCTAACTTCCTAATAACCCTTAACTAACTAGCATAATTTTTGTAACTAACCCTAACTATTTTTAACCAATTTCTAACTACTTCCAACCAACAGTCCAAACAGAAACTTAACTGCTTTCTAAACCATCTTCTAACTGTTTCTGAACAGAACTAACAAATAGCCAACTAATCCAAAATAACCATAACAGATTTTCTAATTGTTTCTAACTTCCCCTAATCTCCTAATTAACTGTAATTGATTCAATCAATTGCCAAAATAGAATAACTCCCTCTAGGCCTAACTGCTTATCCCTAACAGTATCCAACCCTCTGAAACAAAAAACAGAATTTCCTAACCTCTTTTCTAACTCAGTCAACTAACCCCAACTGTTTCCTAACAGTTTCTAACATCCTAATTGCCTAAACAATTCCATGACCAACAAAATGTAACAGAAGAAGAGAGAGAAAAAAGTTCACGATTCATAAACAAGAAAAATTACAATTCTGTAGGAAAAATTAAAATTGGAGGCATCTTCTTCAATCTTCATCTCTCATTCTTCAATTTTGTAGGAAAAATTACACCTCTGATCTCTACACTCTCTCTGCAGCGACCATCACCAATCTTCTCTTTCTGCTCTCTTCTCCATCAATCAATTCTATCTCTCGGTCTTCATCACCTACTGCAACCTTGCAATATTCGCTCCCAACACCTTCTTCATCATTCAAATTCAATCTCTATTTCATCGTTCTTCATCCTCTTTTCATCCTTGAACATGCATCAATTGTGATTCGCTTGGTTATGTAGCTCACATCACAACAACAATCACACAGTGTCTCAAACGCAACAACAATTCGTAGTAGAACACAAAGAAACGGAGTTCACAATGTTGCACAAACGAAATATATTAAGAAGGAAAAGAGATCAAAGAACAAAATCAGTTACGGGACTCAAGCGCGTCTGGAAAAAACTTTTGTCGAAGTCAGCGTGCTCGCCGTCGCAGAGGTAAACTTTTCCCCTCGCTTCTTGATACTATAATATAGAGTAAGAATTCCTGATTAGTTCCCCTAAGGTCTCAACGAAAGATCATTTTCCATCTGAATCTAATTTTGCTTTTAGCTATCCTAGGGTTTTGGATTTTCGTTTAGATTTAGGAGAGTCAAAACGAAATTGATGGAAAAAGAAGGTTGATTTAGGCTCAAAGTTTTATTCTGGATAGAATTAACGTTCGGAGTTTCTTGATTCAAGGAAGTTTTGACCATCGATCAGTGGTGATACGGTGGCGATTTGTGCCAAGTAGAATGGAAGGGAGAGAGAAAGATGAATGGCAAGATGAATGGTTATAGAACCTGATGAGATCCAAACGACATCATCTCTTATGTTTTTTTGTTTGTTTTTTCATTTTAATTAATAAATAAAAAATGGTGATAGTAATAGTTTTATTAGAAAATAACCAAATATTGAAATTGATGTTGAATATGTTTAGATTGGGCTTAGCACTTTGGGCTTGTTTTTTGATTCACACCACTATCCAGAACCATGAACCACCTTCCTATTTCTTTAATTTTCATTTGGTTCATTGAGTTTTAGCAATTAATTTTTGATAATTCTTCTATGACTTTTTTGCTGAAAATTTTGTGGATGTTAATATATTGGCCTTTGACTTAGTGATATTTTTTTTCATAATCTTCCTATTAGCTTAGGAATTGATTGAATTAATGTTTGGTACATGAGTAGGATTAGGATTTTAACGCGTTCTTGTCAGTTTTGTATCCTTGATTCAATTTCCTTGGCGTGATGAGTGGTTTAATAATAGGTTCTTATCCCTGAATGATTCATTGTTATTTTCTAACTCGTTTTATGAATTTATGCCAGCTTCTAATGGAGATTTCACGCACCATGATATTTGCGGATTACTTTTGCATTGTATAGTCTTGTATTTTTGTGCAGGGCTATTACATGATGATTAGGATGCATGTGATCTATTTTCACATGAAGGATTTTACGCTTATCTTCTACATTAGATTTTATGACTATTTCTCTTTGGTTAGTGAAGCTCGCACAAAGTTTTCCCGGATTTCTTGCTTTGCTTGTTGTGCTACTGACTTTTGTTCGTCTAGTATTTGCTCTGGTTTATCTCATTTCAGCACTTTACCGTTTTTCTAGATATCATGAGAAGTAGGATTTTATTGCTTTCTAGATACCATGAGAAGTAGGAAATAAAGAGCGTGGGCTCGAATTCGCTATTTAAAGACCTGTAGCCGGAATTCCGCACTTCATTTGCTATATATGTTGTGCTCGTATTTGTTTCTTTGGTTGTTGATCGATGAGTCACTCAATTTAGGAATTGAGATCACGACTTCGCTCTCAGTGCATTCCCCCTATAGGATTATACCGCTTTCCTTTATTTTCTATCGATCGATGAGTCACTCAATTTAGAAATTGAGATCACGACTTCGCTCTCATTGCATGTTCCTTATAGGATAGTTTTGTTAGACTTTTTTTGGCATGCTAACTTAGATAGGATCTCTCTAGGTGTGCTCTCTTGAGCTTATAAGCTTACTAGCTTTATCCTTGTATATACCATGTTCCCTTAGGATGTGCTTGCTCCATTCATATGCAAGTTAGACCTTAGGTTGTAAACCATGCATTCTAACATTAGGTAGACGTTTCCCTTTTGATTAATCCAAATCTTAGGACCACTATTGTATGATAACATTAGGTTGGAAATAGGTTAGTCCCCCTAATACTCTTTTCTTCCCCTTTTGCATATGCATTTAAAACTAAAGAATCTTTTTATTTAGCAAATCATAAAACATGCTAATCTCACTTAAACCCTTTTTCAAGGTAACAAAGATACAAACCAACTCAAACCTTTTTGTGCGCTCAAGCACCTTTTCTCTAAAACCCTTTTCAGGTAAAGACATGATTAGTTTACTTCGGTGCCAACGCATAAGTCTCCAAAGGTCGAGCTGCGGTAGAAGGCGAAATTAACATTGTCCATAAAAAACACAAAACAAACAAAAACATGTGAGCCAAACTACAGTAGCTCTGATTCCTCAAAAAGGATACATAGGAATTGGGGTAGGGCCCAAGCGAGTACAACTTTATTTTCCCTACATTCTTTTCTCCTTTCTTTTGCATGAATTCTCCCTTAAGTAGTATAGTAAACAGTAAGCATAGAATTAACACACCCATAAGATAGATAACAAGAATGGATACCGTAGAGTACTATGGGCGTGTGGGGTGCTAATACCTTCCCCTCACGTAACAGACTCCCTTACCCGATCTCTCGGTCGCAAGACCATGACTTCTCCCTTCTCAGGTTTTCTCGATGTTGACCTTTCCCTTCATGTGGGATAAAATAAGTTCGATGGCGACTTCATTGTTTGATGATTTTCAGCCGGTTGTTTCAGGTGGCAACTTCACTGGGGATACGTCGACCAAATGCTGGTCCATTCCGGAGTCCCTCCTAGCTCTTGTCTTCTTTTCTTTGGGTGTTTATTTATATTCTTTATGACTTATTCATTTTGTATATACCTGAGCATATGTATGCATTGCATTTTACTTCTTTCCATATATTATTGTTGTACTAGATCTGCTTCTTGATTGGGTTGGGATGTTACTATTGAGATAAAAGGCCCAATACCAAGGCTAGAGTGCACTAGGACACTAGGAATAGAGTGGGGGCATGACGGCTATAGGACGTGGTCCGACTAGTGCAGTCATGTCATAAACCACACTAGGATAAGTTTCAATTGAAGGTATTTTCATCATGCACATCTGTGTTACGATGATTTTAGTTTCAAGCGAGCCCGTGATTTTCGAGTTACCCTTGCCTTACCCTGACCTAGTTTTCACCCATGAGTGGGGAGGTAATTATTATCGCAGGTACGAATGGTGACTATGTTCAGATGGTTACTCATGCACAAATGGTGACTATGATCAGACAGTGACTATTGGTTCTAATGGTTATGTTCTGGATTTATGTTGGTGACTTATTCAAATGCTATATCCTTTTGGCGACTATGGGGTTCTCAGATTTATTTTCTGAGTTCCTGACTTGTTTATTTAGAGCTTAATCCAGGCCTTCGATCTTGGTATTTCCAAAATGTTCAGAAAAGGCTAGACAAAAGGCTCAGCAGTATCCAATGTTCCAAAAACCTAGATCCCATAAACTTGATGATCTACATGTTACTTGGTTCTTATATGTGCAGAAGTTATGATGGACCTATGATCTGAATATATTCATATGATTCAGAACAATGCATCAATCATATTTAGAAATGATGGAACCTTGATCCCATTTGATCCCATGTCTTTGCATACATAACATTGTCACCACATGCTTAACATACGTGTTCTGTTATTTCCAGAGAATCATATTTGTAAGTATTGTGCTAAACTCTTCCATCTTTTACTTGCGTAAAATCAAAATCAAAGCATGTAAATTCCCTGGAAATGACGGAACATAACATGGCATCCATTCATGAACCACATGAATATTCATGCATCAAAACAGGTATTCGAAGATTGGGGATTCTTATTCAGACCGGGTGTTCTCCTCAGAGGTTCAAATTGATTTCTTACTATCACATACTCAGGGATCAGTTATGGAATAACTCCGAGTGGCATACATGTATGCTTTGGCCCGTGGTCATAAATTCTTCGAGAAGGAAGATAATTGATCAAAGACTCAAATAAGCCAGGTCCTGAAAGCTCTGATGATGTTAACAATCTTGCACTTACTACCACAACAGAGGTTCTCTCTTCTCCTCATCTTCTGGGAATTGCTTTCAACCATGGAGTGCTACACAATCTTGAGTCCTTGGAACATATTATCAGTAGATGGTTCCCATTAACTGTGGGATCTTATATCAGTGCTTCGTTCTTGTTTACCAACATCAGATGTGGTAGCCACACTGGGGCATCAAACTTTTTAATCAGGGGCGTTCTCCACAGCCTTGCGTTCCTTGATCTGTTCGACAATATCCAGTCTTTGTTCCCCTAGTGAATTCATTGGGCTAAGCTATTAAACAAAGATAGAAGAAGCCTGATGAGCATGATGGGACAAGCCCGATGCATTACGTCCTGTTATTTCCAGCTCTGATATTTGGGGTCATCCTCCCACCAACATCTCTTCTGATCATGATACACATGCTAGAAATATCCCCTATTCTGGGGCACCCGGTTTTGATATTGAAAATTGTAAAGGGGTTGAAGTATAAAGCCCAACACATGTCTGGTGTTTCTTCCAAAGGTCCAATTCCTATTTGGCCAACTGTCGGACTCTTTCTCACCAGGTGGATGTCTCTGTTGTTCTGATAGAAGATGAACTGTATTATTTCTTTGTGGCGTAATATGCTTAGTGATGCAGTTCATACCGATTTTATTTGTTAAGCATTCATTTTCTCTCCTGAAAGAATCTTCTATGGATATATTTTGGGGCACCTAGCCATTCGATTGAAGACGGTATGTAATCCAGAGATAAGGTCTAAGACGAGATCAATCCAGAGACTGTTGTGTTCACATCAAATCAGAAGGAGAATTCTCTCGCCCGTTCAAGCATTGAAACTGTTGAAAGTCGTCAGAATGAAGAAATCCATACGGAGTCAAGCCTCCTCAACAATGGCAATCATTGGTTTCTGTACTGCATTTTCATTTTAATTCTTGCTTGTTTGTTTAAACATTGCTTACATGTAACAAAATTTTTATTTTTGAATTAAAATCTTAATGCAATAAGTATGTTTGTCTTGAAGTGTTCTTTTTGTTTTTATTCATCCATTCGTTATCACTCTTTAAATGTTTTACTTGCATATTAATGCCATGTTTCCAAGTCTTATGCTTAGGTAAAGAATTTCCAAGTCTTATGCTTAGGTAAAGAATTGTAAGGAGGGTAACAATAATCTAAAAGCGCAAAAAAATCTATGGTTGGTACGCTTTTGAGTAAGACCCTGCTGATGATGTATAGGCCTTGTTTCAATCGCTAAACACCAGAGATATAAGGGAGATAGACCCTCGTTGACCCCTCTGAGCCTTTGAAGTAGGAGTTTCTTTTCTGTTCAGAAAAAAACCCTCATTTTAACCCTGGGGTGGGTAGTGTTCAGTTAATCTGATCAAACATTCAGAACTCATTAAGAGTGCACATCTGAGGATACAACAATGGTTATCCATCAAAAGGTTGAGGAAAGTCAAAATCACAATGGTTAACCCTCATTTATCAGCAATGTGCATTAATTAACGGTATCCCAATGGATATCTCTCGCACATTATGAGGTCAAAATATGTTGATACAATAATGGATATCCCTCATCTACTAAAGATTCAGACATTCACGGTCACTTCCGACAAATTAAAAATGATGCGAAGATCAACAACTTGTTCATAATGGAAATTATT